GCGCTTAGTGAACATGCTGGTTTAGATGTGTCAGAAGCGCATCGGTACAGTGCACACTCCGTACGGTGCAACACTGTCGGTGTTAGTCATGCACGCAATGCACGCACGTACACGCCCCGTACCGTGAAACATGCGGTGCTTAGATGCCACGAATACACGCACGTAAGTACAGCAGGACCGATTACTCGTGAAGCTGCGGCTACGCGTTTTAGACGCGTGACTCATGCACTGGCGACATACTGTACACACACTCACGTATGCAAGTGACGATGTTGATGAACGAATGACGCGAGCGTGAGACACCCGAACCCGGATGAATCAGTTACACGCACGTCAGTGTTAGTAATGACGAATGCCACCCGACAGTACACGCGCACCGTACAGGAAAATTGCACGATGCAGAAGAGATCTGATTGCGACGAGAAGATGGCGCAGCATACAGCGCAAAGCCGTACGGCCATGAGAGCATGGACCTCGCAGGGTAAACTTAGTAGTACTCGAAGAGTGACACGAGGTGAGTGAGCAGTAGAAGAAATGTGACAGCACGCGAATTGAGAATACACGCTACCCTCGGTAACGTGGAAACATCGCGGTTCCATATGAGGAGCTGCAGGTGAGTGTATGAAGTTATGATACACGAATTGCAGCGACGATATACCGCGAACACTCGTGATAGATGCACGAATGCACACGCGCGAACACGGCAACCCTGTATACGTATGAATACATGCACTGCATGTGATTGAAGGATAGCACAGAGTGAACGCACGCTACGAACGCATCTACTCCGATTACGCAGAATCATGCGATGTGTGATGAGAGAGAACATACGAGTGGACTCATGACACGCCTACGGGTATGCTTGCACTGATATACGGCAGCAGTGAACTCATAGTTTGCACTGTGTTATATACGAGGTACCGAGATGACAGCGACGACGTAGGCACGCACCGACGAGTACGAGTTGAAGGCATTGCGGATGTTTTATGATGCACGCAATGACGGCGACCGTACACGCGCAGTCCGCATAGTCCTCTTTAGAGCGCGTGACGCAAGCAGTAGGAGAGCGAGCAGACTGTGTTGGACATGGGCACCGAATAGCCCACGTGGCACGACGCCAGGTACGTGAACAATGCGTGTTTAGAGATGGGATGAACGAGCCGATGCACGCAGCGTACACCCACCCGTACGTCGACACTGCGGGGTGTTTGGGCACTGCACGTGAGATGCACGACACGGATCGTACTGAACACTGCAGGGGTTGGAGGATTGACACACGTAAATGCACGTGCACTAACACTGCGACACCGTATGAGAAACATTGCAAGGTTTGGGGATGACACGAGATGCACACGCACTGATCACGCAACGCCGTACGGTGGAGAGCATGGCGGTGTTTAGTTACGACGAAGAAAACGCACTACACGCACCTGCGTACGTGAACATGCGATGTTAGATGCACGAAGTACACGCAACCTGTACACGCACCCCGTACATGAACATCGATGGTTTAGATGCACACATGCACCACGTACACGCACCGCGTACGTGAGAATGCGATTGTTAGATGCCCGAATGCACGTGCCGTACACGCACCGTTACGTGAATCATGCGAGTTAGATGCACGAATGCACGGCAGCGTACACGACCGCGTACGTGAACATGCAGGTGTTTAGATGGCACGACATGCCCACTTACAACGCACCCGTTACCGTTGGAACATCCGATTGTTTTTTAGATGCACGTATGCGACCGC